GCTTATATATGTATTGATCAAGCACAAGATGTCGGCACGTCCAAACAGTCTCGAAGTCACGCTGCGAATGATATATATGAAACTTATTAAATTAAGCAAAAGCAAGTGATTATCGCGGAGCAACTATGATGCAGGGTTACCAAGTATACCCACTAAACTTCGATTTACCCTTTGAATTTGCCCATTTGCTTTGTGGGAATGCACTGCTACTTTTACATGCGTGATGTTCCTGTTTGCATTTTCATTTTGGTTATGCCAAAATGTCCCGCTAATACCCTCTTACGCAGTCCCTTCGGAATGAACACTCTCATCCCTCGGAGCAAGCAACCCTTTTGTAAAGAAAATTCTGATTGGGCTATACCGAAAAGAAATGACGGTTCACAATCGCGGCCATATTGTCTCGATGACGTCCACTTCATCGATGTTTTCGTTGACTTTAGCGTACGGCTGGCGCGATAGTGCATCAGCATTCGCATTTTCGCAGCTTTTCTTTATGCGTATTTCGTACTCTAATGATCCTAAGTAAATTGCGTATTGCTTGCATTCTTGTCGCAGACAGGGTTGACAGTCCCTTACGTGGCGAAAATATCTGAGCTACAGCTTTGTTGTCGGTGGCTGAGATAAATTTCCGGCCAAATAAATATTGGTAGAATTTTCGCACACCAAATATAATGGCGTACGCCTCTCGATCCACTTGGCTTTAACGTTGTTGAGTCTGATTCAACGTCTGCGACGCGAACTGTATAGGTTTCTCTGTACCGTCTTTGTAAACGTGGCTAAGTACTGCCCCCACCCCAATCGGGCTCGCATCCACAGCTAGCACAATGGGCAACTGCGGATCATATAGTGTTAACACTGTATCGAATTGCATTTCTTACAATCCAGGTCAAAATGAAACGGTATGTCTTTGCGTAGTAATCTATTGAGCGGGTACACTGCCGTGCTCAAGTTTCTTATGAATCGCCCATAATAATTTACAATACCTATGTACATTTTCACCCGCTTTGATGTCACCGGGACCTACACGAAACCCAAACAGTCCAACGGAGTTTTACAATAGCTAACAAATTGTGTATCAGTCGGTTTTACTTTACAGGGTCCAAAATGCTTTTTAGCGTCGGAGCGCCGGTGTCGATTTCAAACAAAATCATCAGGCCATTTACGGCTACCCTACTCATTATTTTCTTTCGTTTCGATACCGCATCTCCATTACCGCCCCCGCTCACTTTGAACAACTCCTCCACAACTTTTTCTTGTGTTATTTGATTTAGTGTTCTCTTTCTTTTAAAGCACATTTTCCTCAAATGACCTTCTTACAGCAATGACAAATTGCTTCTTTATATTTACATTCGTTTGCCTCGTGGGAAGTGTTCCCACATCGAAAACAACTCTTCTCTTTACCTTCAGATTTTGGTTTCTCTTTTCTGTTCTGTCTTTGCTTTGCTTCTCCTCCTTCTTGTAGTTAACCTTATTAACTTCACCTAGAGGCACCTGTTTTTGCAGTTCACCTCCTTCTCTTTCTGTTAATTCATATGCACATGCTATTTGAATTGCGTCTACCAAGGTTAAAACTTTTTCCAGCAAAAACAAATTGATTCCGTAATGCGGTATCCGCATACATACCAAAATTACATCCCGTTGCTAATCGGCGCAGCGCCTTCAAAAACTCTGAACACGTCTCCTCGACTTTTTGTTTGCGCGAGTGAAATCTATAACTTTCTAGGATTTCATTGTGCTTGGGATTGAAGTGTTCTTCTAGCAACTTCACGATCGCCTCGTACTCCATAATTTCCGGTGTATTCGGCAATGCTTTATCACACAGTATATCATACACTGCTGTACCCAAATAGTGCAGCAAAAATTGTCGTTTTTTTGCGGCATCTGCTTCAAATATTTCTAAGGCCGTTTCAAACATCTTGACCCAACGACTCCCAAGTAGTAATTTTTGCATCGAATCAGTCAAAAGTAAACGACGTACTTGCCATTTTGACTGCTGTCTTCACCGATTCTGCTATTATATTTGAAACCGCGTATGAGTGTCTTTTTCGTACTTCTCGTCGCCAGAATTGTTATATACGCCCGAATCACAATATAACCAGTAAACAACCTTCGGTGAATTTGGCGACTGCCTTCCTCGGGGATGAATATGCTAGGGATGAAATTATTGGTACACACGCCATCCAAGCACGCAGGGTTGCTTTTAAGCAACAAGAAATAATTAACTCCAAATAGTTTCAAAAATATAGTGTAAAACGAATAATTCCACATAAAATGGTATACATAAATGACTAATTATACCCGAGCGCACTTGTGCACAAGGGTATTATAACTTTGTTCACATAACGGTTGTTTGTAACAGGCAAAACGAATCGAGATAGATATAGACAAATGAATACATAAATGATCGGGATGAAAAGAGAAATCGATTAAGCGGTAACTGTCTGTCCGTCCGTCCGCCCGTCTGTCCGTCCGTCTGTGCACACGATAACTCGAGTAAAAATTAAGATATCTTAACGAAACTTGGCACGTTTACTACTTTCGGGCGTAGGACGGATGGTATTGAAAATGGGCAAAATCGGACAACAACCACGCCTACCTCCCATATAACGGTAATTTTCAGAAATACGAAAACTGCGATATTTTAGTAACTACTGAAGATTATTCACTCAAAATTGATATTTGCAATAACTTTAAGACGAAAAATAAGAATATTATAAATTTTTGAAAAATGGGCGTAGCCACGCCCACTTAGTGTTACATGTGTATATCTTGGCAACCGCTGCACCGATTTCTTCCAAACTTGGCACAGTATTGGCCTTGGATACCAAATGGCCGAAAATTTAAAAAATGGGACAATAACCACGCCCACATCCCATATAACGGTAATTTGGAGAAATACGAAATCTTCGATAAATCCGTAAATATTGAAGCTAATTTATTCAAAATTGATGCTTGCAACAATTCTTTATCAGGAAATACGCTTATCATAAAATTTTTGAAAATGGGCGTGGCACCGCCCACTTATGATCACATATATGTATCTCGGTAACCGTTCTACCAATTTGTACCAAACTCGGTATGGTTATTGTGCTTGCCACATAAAAGCAAAACGTTCAAAATTATTGAAATCGGACTAAAATTACGGCTTTTCATATAACGGTAAATTTTAGAAATGCTCGAAACGTCAATATTTCGAAATTTACGGACGCTAATTTATTCAAAATTGATACACCCCGGCTTACCATGTAGCTGTAGCTTCCGGAAAGGTGAAAAGGCATATATGTAATACTTTCGCCGGGTGTTTAATGTTCGGCCCCGCCCGAACTTAGACTTTCTTTCTTTTTTTTTTAATCTTGAATTTTCGAATATCGAACAAACTGGATTTGTTTATCGAACTCTGAATGGAGGCTTTGAGCTTTTCAGGCGAAGCTTAGGATAAAGCAGATTATATCAATGTTGAGTCGGCGTAAAACTGTAAAGGTCTGATTATGCATACTTCGCATAACTTCGCACAACCATTTGTACCAGTGCAATAAAAATTTAACTTAAGAAGATGTGAAGCAAAATCTAGTCTCAACAGATCGTTAAGTTTTTAAAAGCTCTGCTAATTTATGGGTAACGGAATACATACAAAATACATACAAAGTACATATGAAATTACAGTTTGAAGTTTATGCGAAGTTATGCGAAGTATGCATAATCAGACCATAAGTTCCTCCCCTATGTGTGACAACATCAATGCGCACGCCACAAATCGTAGGAAAAGCTTGGCCAAGCACTAACATACATATGTATGTGTAAGCGCCAATCTATTGCTATTAATTTACTAAAAATAATGAAATTTAATTTCTTTAACAAAATCGGGCGCAAATTTTCTATTTTATAAATATATGTATATTTCCGTTGAATTGAGCATTATTTTAACTGCTAATTTTATTAAATTTTAAATAATTGTTTTGCGTGGGACCTGGATACGATCCCTGGTCCGAGCAAAATCTAAATTACAAAAAGTTGTTTCTAACAGCGGCCGCCCCTCGGCAGGCAATGGCAAAACTCTGAGTTTATATCTGCTAGGCATGGATAACACTGCGCTGCGCGGCGCAATTGCGTTTACACCGTAGCTGGAGTTGCCGCGCCAACTCCAGTATATGGAAAGCGCCAGCGCCATTAACACCAAGCAAAATATGAGGCACACACACAATTCGCCTTAACTCTTTGAAAATTTACACGAACTTTGTTTTTGCTTTTGAGTGTTGAGAACGCATATTTAAAGCTTTTACTCAAGAATGATAGAATATCGTGGCATTTACTATATTCCTAGCAATTAAATTCAGTTGGCGGTAAAAGCTTAAAAGCGGTAAAAATTATAGAAATAATAGACATGACACCACTGTATGGTGCATGGTGTACTGCACTGTATGACGATGGGTACTGTGGTGACACTCAGATGGCGCCGTGTTCAAATCAGTACACTGCGCTATTGCACTGGGTTAGTGCGCTGACACCACAGGTGGCGCTGGCGTTATTGAGCTAGCGCAAAAAAAATTGCGCGATTACCCATAGCTAATATCTGCTATGAAAAACAGTTTCTGATTAAAACCATTTACCATTAGGAGGCGGCGTAAAACTGTAGGTTACTCCTCTTTCTCTGACAAATCGCAGGAGAAGCTGGCCTAATGTGTAAGCGCCAAATATTTATTTATTTAGATAGTAAATAATCTTCTTTGAATTCTTATAAAACACAGTGTTGTAACTTTTCACAGCGTGAACCCTTTTCGATAATTCTTTTTTTATCGGAAAGGTGGTACCTCAAGAGTGGTCCCATATAAACTTAGTTCCGAACATTGGATCAAGTTTTTTGTTTAAAAATTACTTTTTCTTTCCTTTTCAGTACGATTGCTGTGGTATGAATGGACCCAATGATTACATCGACAGTGGTCTCAGCATACCGCCAAGCTGTTATCTTAACCGCAAGTCGTCTATTGCAAATGATCTCTATACTTCCGGTTGTGTTGCCAAGTTAACACAAGCCTTTGAAATGGGTTCGCGCATTGAAGTGATCAGTGATTGGACATTGGTGGGTGTGGAGGTGAGTTTTTGGATATCTATAAAAAAAAAAAGAATTAAATAATTCTACGCTTTTTTTAATCCCGTATGTACGTGCATATGTATTACATCACAATATATATTTTTTAATACATTTTAGGGCGCAACAATTATTGTCGCCTGCGTCTTGGGCATCAGCTTCAAAAATATGGAAAGAAGACGATACTATTAGTACAAATTCAATTTTGTTACTACTTATGTATTTATTTGTTGTTGACAGTATTTCAAATTAGCAGTTTTATATGTACATATATTTTATTTACACATAATTACTACATATGTATATGTATGTATTTAAATTATTATTAGATTCTAACTATTGCGAAGCATTAAAAATAAATATTAAGTTATTGTGAGGTAGGTATGTATGTATGTATGTAGATAAATACATATGTAATACCGGATCTATGGAAGGACATATGTACACCCGATCACTAGAAACTAGGTTTAATACATTTTTTTTTTTAAGAAAATATGCTTTAACGAAAACCATATAACTTAAAGTTTTAAACTTAGTACAATATATATAAAAATTCGACGCAGTTCCAAAAATTGTAATCAAAATTTCAGACTTTTAAATTGGAATTTCTGGAATTCGAATTTATTATATTAGCGGTGTTGCTCCGATACAAAAAATTTGGAACATACACACTTTTTATGGAAGAAAGCGCTTAACAAAGTCAGCGAAAAAAGCTTTCAAAAATCAATGAAATTTTTTAGCTAACTCAAACTTGCACCACCCGACCTAGAAACGTATATTAAAGGATGTTACACTGAAAGTAAAATCTGCGTAAATATAACGAAAACTTGCTTACATTTTACGAAAGTTATCGTCATTTTGAGCCACGAAAGTCTTCGTTGTTTGTACAAAACCGTTTTCGTACATACTACGAAAATATGAGACATCAGATCTTAGTACATTTTACGAACGTATTCGTACTATTAACGAACGAATTTCGTACTATTTACTAAAGAATTTCATACTATTTCTTTATTTTTTTACGAAATTTTTGTAAAATGCACGAAAATAATTCGTATACGTAACGAAACTATTTTCCTAAAATCTGCGGTTGTTTCCTAGAACTTCCGATTGCTTACATTCACCACACTATAAAAAGCATAAAACGAATTATAACACAACACTTTTATTTTTGTTTTTATTCTTAATGTTAAGCGTTTTTCTTTAACAAAACGTTTTGCAATGTGTTAATGTGGAGGTACTTGGCAGATTCGCAGCTTCTACGATGTTTGTGTCCTTTCTCGACTATAAATTATAAGGCGTGTAAAAAGCAAGTTTCAGGGAAAAATCATACATGTACTTTCTTAAAATTTCATTAAGTAATGCGTCTGTTCCTGGCTTGGGCTTGCCGTTGATAGTTAACTGATGAAATTGCCTATTTATAAAGTCCCACATTGCCGAGCAAGGCTTAGCGTGGGCGATGTTAAAAACATTGTGTGCTTAAAAGCATTTATCCACAGCTTTAACATTTAATTTTATATTGTATTTTTATCCGGCAAAAACTTCTTAAAACTTTTAAAATTATATTATACGTCTCACAGTAGCCAACCAGTAATTTCGCAATGACACGCGGTACATAAAAATATGATGAAACTGACGGTAATTTAGTATATTGTACGACAATATTCGTTTGTTGTACGAATTTAAAAAAAATGTTTCTGCATTTGTTCTGTGTACGAAAGTATTAAGTAAATTTTACGAACACAGAATTGTAGATTTCGTAAATTTTAAAACCATATGTAAATATTACGTACAATATACAAAATTATTCGTACAGAGATTTGTTCAGTAATTTACGTAAAATAAACGTAAGATTTCGTAAATTGTACTGAAAAAAGTCTTTACGAAAGTCCTTTCGTTATATTTACGAATGGTTCGTAAAATCTTGCTTCGTTGTGAAAAATTTGTTCGTATTATGAACGAAAGTTTCGTTCATTGTACAAAAACCAAGACTACGAAAGTTTTTCGTGGCACTTTTACGAAATTTTATTTTCAGTGTACGAGCAGTGATCGGACTTGAAAAAATATTTGTGTGGTAGAACCTGGAAAAAAATGTGGTAGATCTCAGGTTTTGGATCAAACTTTGTACAAGTGCAAACCAATTCCTCCCATATCATGATATTTTTCGAACATATTTTGAAAGATTTCTGCAACCTTGCGGAGTGCTGCCAGTTTTTCTTTTTATCACATCACGATGTAGCGAACAAATGTGGTACGTTCCAGAAACCGCTACTTGGGATTTGCCGATTTTGACAATTCACAAGTAAAAAGCAACAACGCTTTAGAAACTTTAGATCCACTGAAATTTGCCAATACTTTCACAAAAATCGCCGTTTTTTAACATTTTCGCTATTAATTATTTTTATAAATCGCATATTTTGCAATTTAATACAATAAAACCA